GTGAGATTTGAACCGCTGACCTGCTGATCTAGCAGTAGCCTGCAGTGCTGCACTCTAACCACTGCGCCACCGTGACATAAAACACGACAATCTTGCACTCAATCCATTAGGACACATATTAGAACATAATAATAATAATAACAGATTGATAAGGAGGCCGAAAGCCAGGCGGACGACAGAGCACCGAGTTCAAAACATCGTAAAAACCTCCCCATCCAGCTCCCAGCCCTTAGGAACAAACAGCGCAGATCAAAACGAGGACTTTCCAACCTCCCGACCTTGGGAATTCTGCACGAGAGGAGATAAATACTTCTGCTGATGTGGGAAAACTTCTCGTTCCGATCAATACTTTTATCGGAGGGCTGAGCTGGGTCCAAAGGCAACGGGGAGGGCTCGGCCCTTGGATTTGAACCTGCCACCCGCGTCTCTTCCAAAGTCAAATTACTACCGGTTCGCTGAGAGACAGCGCTTTGCGCGCTCGCTGCTCGCTTCTCTCGCGCACGAGCCCGCTGCGCAGGCACGGTTTACTGAACACTGTTCTGCGCATGTGCAGAAATATGCTGGCGACGAGAGACGGCACCAGGGAACTGGTTCGGGGTGGCCTGGCAGGCCTGGGTAGCTGCCGGTTCCAACCAGTGCTGGGTTCCGGTCCGTGTCGGTACGCTCCACACAGGGCCGGGCATCCTAGTCGTGCCTGCGTACTGCGCCCCCTTGTGCACACCACCGCCCCTACGACACACAGCTACTTGGCGGTCGTGCAGGCGTGCGTGCACAATTGGCCGGTCGCATTATAAACAGGTATGGAATGCGGACAGACGCCGCGGGCCAAACGATGGTGCTCCCGGCTTCTACCAGGACGTACCGGCTGAAACCCACCACTGGTTCCGACGAATTAAACACCCCGATATGTTCGGTTGATGAAGTTTCGTGTTTAATAAATAAAAGAGAGAATAACAGATAATTCGACGGCAGAATCGAAGCAAACAAAACGTTTTCCCCCGAAAATAAGACAGGGTCTTATTTTATTTTGACCCTGGAATAAGCCCTTGGCCTTATTTTTGGGGAGGTCTTCTTATTTTTGGGGTGCAGGAGGTGGCGGGCGTGGTGGGTTGCAATATTTTCAGGGAGGGCTTATTTTAGCGCCTGCGATTAAAAAGTCCCGATTGAGCTGATTATCCAGGGAAGTTTTATTTTCAGGGAAACAAAGGAAGGCACCAAGAGGAGCACAGCAAAAAAAGGTTTTTTAAAAATATATAAAAAGAAGGAAAGGTATGGGAGCGTGGAATGGAGTGGGTGAAAATGGGCCCTGACCCACTGGCTGGCTCGAAGCCGAAAAACGGTCCCGAAAATTTCCATCCAGAAGGCGGCGAAGGATTTAATTAGATTTAATTAACGCCGGCTGGTTCATAAATCTTCCTGTCTTCTGGAGTTTCAGCTTTGCCGGAAAACAAATATTGACAAATTGTTGTGTGTGTGTGTGTGTGTGTGATATTTTAAAAGTGTGTCTCCATAGCAACGGAGGGGGGGGAGAACGATGCGGGTTCGAGGGAGGGGGCAGCTGGTGTGGAAAGGATCTCAAGGTCATGTCAAAATCGTCAAGGCAAACAATTCCTAGAATCGGCAGGAAATTTATAACCGGTAAATGGTCATTTGCTAACGGGGGTTATTTCTTCCTTTTTAAAAAAAAAAACACGAATGCTTTGTTTAAACAGGGGGAGGTTGCGGCCCGCGGAACTCCCCGCCACTTGCTTCGAGGACGCGGGTCGATCCGTGATTGATTTTGACATTTTGCTGCGATTTATATATTGACTTAACTAAATGGACACTCGGCCACCTGTCTCGCTTTTTAAAAGAAGCGACGCTAATTTAACGAAGACTGAAAAAATTGATTGCAAAAATGGGAGAATTCGCACCCAGATTGGGCCAAACCCCCAAAAAGCCAGAATCCCCCTTCCGGATGGCTTGCTGAGAAAGAAAACGTGGCAAAGGGTTTTCTCCAATGGTTTAGAGTCCTCGGCGGCGGAGGACCGCAACGGAGCTTCGAACGTTTCCGTCCCTAAGCGAGACGGGCTGAGAAGTGAGCTTTTCCCCTGCCTTGCCACCTTTCTTGCCACGGCCGTTAAGCGAGTCTGACTTCCCCTTTGACTCAAAGTCTCAAAAGCGGGGGGGGGGGAATCGGAGGGCGCCAGAACACGGGTGCCCGTCATAAACACGCAACGTTTGGCAAATGGACTCGTATTTCTGACGGCTGCAGGGTCCCGGAATCACGCGAAGCCAGGTTCCCTGAAGCACCGTATCCCCTAACTTAACCATGGCAGGGATTCGCTTAGCGACGAGAAAGGTGGCAAAACGAGGCACGGCGCACTTAAGAATCCGTCTCTCGGTCGACGGAGAGGTTACGACGGTCATAAGCCTGGAAAAAAAACGATCCAAATTCCCCCTTTTTTTTCCACTGCCAGCCTGAGTTTGGATGGTCCCTAAACCAACGGTTGTAAGTCTGAGGACTCCTGGGGAGTGGAAGCTGTTTTTTTGGAGTGCTTTGCTATAAAACTTAGGTCTGTTTTTAGCCCAGCCAGAGAAAATCTGAAACTCCAAACGATTAGATTTCAGGGAAAGCAATTAGTGCGTCTTCATTGTATTAGATTCCCGGCAGTGGGATATTAATTAATTTAGGGGGGGGGGGGAAAGGTTAAGTACGGAGTAGCGACCGGCAGGAAAATACGTGATTTTATTTTTATTTATATTGCAAAAGTCTGGCAGTTGATGAAAGGTTAATGGCCGGAGAGCCAGGGCTGCGGTACGTCCTACGGGGGGGGGGGCTCTTGGCCAGCCAGCCGTGCCAAGAATCAGGGTTAACCGATCAGGAAAAATTCACGGGTAGCTGCTAATACTCTTGCTTGCGTCTTTGGGGGGAGGAGGGGAGGATACTAGGGCTGGAAGGAACCTTAGAGGTCTTCTAGTCTAATCCTACAGCCAAGGCAGGGGTCGTCTTCTCTTAAGGGAGCCTGAAGATGGGCTGAAGGGGTGGTGGGGGCTTAAGTGGGGTTTTTCCTGATCGGTTAACCCTGATTCTTGGCACGGCTGGCTGGCCAAGAGCCCCCCCCCCCGTAGGACGTACCGCAGCCCTGGCTCTCCGGCCATTAACCTTTCATCAACTGCCAGACTCTTGCAATATAAATAAAAATAAAATCACGTATTTTCCTGCCGGTCGCTACTCCGTACTTAACCCTTCCCCCCCCCCCCTAAATTAATTAATATCCCACTGCCGGGAATCTAATACAATGAAGACGCACTAATTGCTTTCCCTGAAATCTAATCGTTTGGAGTTTCAGATTTTCTCTGGCTGGGCTAAAAACAGACCTAA